GGAAGTCGACCTCCCAGATTCTCTGCCCAGCACCCACCCAGCAGCGTCCCATCTCCTGCCCTCGGAAACCCCCCAGGTGGGGCTTCCCAGCCTGGCTGCCTGGCGCTGCAGTCTGGGCCTGGGGCCAGGGGCTGCAGCTTGCACACTGGTTCCTGCAGTACCGGGAGTGGCCATACGGGGGCAGCAGAGGGGAGGCCTTGCTGGAGGGAGAAGGGTGAAGCTTGGCAGGGTGCTGGTCCTTCAGTACCGCCCCCCCCCATGGCCCTCAACCTAACTCTGCCTCTGAGTCTGCTCAGGCTGCTCCCTGCGGGAATGCCCTTCCCACAGCTCTGGGGCTGCAGGGCCGGCCGGGACTCGGGACGCCAGCATCCCTTGCGTGGGGGTGGGCTTCCACAGCCCCGCCTTGGTCCGAGGGAACCGGCCTCAGCCACTGCCTCCTAGAAGGCTCAGGTGCAAGTTGCTTCATCTTTCCAGAGGTAAGTACCGGCCTGGGGGTGAGGCCCCAGCCCTGCCCTTCCCGGAGGGGATTAGCAGAGATGGGGAGGGCCAGCAAGGGTCCAGTGGGTGGAGGCCGAGCACCTCCAGGTGCCGGAGCTCCTGTCACTCCCAGGCCTGGAAACACCCTCCTCCATCCCCCTGTCTCCTGGACGCCCCGGGGCCAGGCCAGCCCCTCACTCTGGGCATCATCCCAGCCAGAGTACCCCTCTGCTGACCCGCCTCTTCCAGGAAGCCTTCCAGTCAGGACCTGCCCTGACCCAGCATTGAGGGCTGGGAGGCCCGGCTGAGAGCCCCGAGACAAGGACGCAGAGAAGGGCCTAGACCGCGCCACGAAGGCGGGCCCAGCTGCAGGGCGGGGCCTCGTGGATACCACCTCCGCCTCACTGGCAGCCTCCTCTCTGCTGCCCCCGCATGGCCACTCCAGGAACTGCAGCCAAGGGACATTCCACCTGTGCTCGCGTCCTATCCTAACCCCTCCCTCGGAGTGCTGTCCCCCCAGGGCAGGGGTGGGGACGGCAAGGGACCCGGCTTCTAGACCTTGGGGCCGTCCCTAGAGGAACTGGGCTGGCACCTTCAGTGACCATACCTGACCCCAGAGCCACCCACCTGTGGGATCAGAAGCCGGGAGGCTCAGGAGACCAGGGGCTGGGGGACCCAGGGCCAGGCTGAGCCATTCTGCTGCAGGACGGCAAGGGCAGACCCTGGGGGTCAGGCTGGCACCCCAAGTGTGCCCCACTCCATGATGGTGTGGGTGTCCATGTGGAGCCCTGGCTCACACCGTCCCACATCCCACCCCGAGAGGTGGTCCCTGTCCTGTGACCCGTCTACAGGTAAGGAGGGACTTGGGCCAGGTGACCAGGCAGTGGAGGAACGGGGTGGGAGGCAGACCCAGCTCCCTCTGGGTGCTGTGGGTGGGTGGTCCACAGGGCAGCTGGAATGAGGCACCAACATGCGACATCAAAGTTAGACACATGGCTGTATTTTCTCCTCCTAAGAGGGGCTCCGCGTGACATCCACAGCAGTTAGATTACAAGCCTGGAGTGTGAGGTAGTCGCCCCACCATGGGGACGCTGGCTTTGTGCTCCGGGCTCCTGAGGCTGCCCCTGAGCCGAGGTCTGGGTCGGCTGGGGTCTCAGGCCAGGAACTGAGGCAGCAGGACACTGGGGGCTCAAGTGAGTTGCCAGGTGCCAGGTCTCAAATGTCCAGGGAGCAGGGTTATGGTCGTTGGCCTATCAGGACGTGTGGTCCCAGGCACTTGAGCATCAATTCTAGATGCTGGGGTTGTAGGGCCGGACACTCCACGCTAAAACTCCCAGATGTGGAGTGTAGGTCTGGTAGAAGCGCTAGGGGCCACCATGCCCAGGATTGAGCGTCAGCACGTGGGCAACAGCTTTGGTCGGTGCAGATTGCATATTGGGTTTCAGGCATCCGGGCCATAGTGCAAGTCCTCGGCCTGCGGCTGGTCACACAGGCTCGGCGGTCATGGCTGCGAGCCCCAGCTGATATCCCTGTAACGGTGATGCACACACTTTGCAGCAGGAACAGCACCCCGGGTCTCCGGAGGGACTGACTGGCGTGTTGGGACCCGGGCTGGGCGTGGCCTGGCGTGTTGGGGTGGGCGGACACGTTGGGGCGTGGCCTGGCGTGTTGGGGTGGGCGGACACGTTGGGGCGTGGCCTGGCGTGTTGGGGCTGGGCGGACACGTTGGGGCGTGGCCTGGCGTGTTGGGGTGGGCGGACACGTTGGGGCGTGGCCTGGCGTGTTGGGGTGGGCGGACACGTTGGGGCGTGGCCTGCCGTGCTGGGGCTGGGCGGGGCATAGTGGGGCAGCGCCAGGGGTAAGTCACCTGTGGCCCTTGCGGCGGCGCAGCAGCACGAATACCAACACGCCCAGCAGGGTCACGGCCAGGCCTCCAAAGATGACGCTTAGCAGCACCGTGTAGCTCCGTCCTGGGAAGGGGGCACAGTGAGGGTGGCCCAGTGGTGCCAGGGCCGAGCAGGCACATGGTGGGGGTTGGGGGGCGACCTACCTGGCTGGCACCTCGGCGTGGGCATGGACCAGGTGCCGTCCGCCTGGCAGGTGCTGGCCTCTGCCCCCTCCAGGCTGTAGCCGGAGTTGCAGCTGAAGCGGACGGTGAAGCCCGCCAGGTACGAGATCCCCTCCTTGCGCCCATCGGCAGGTGGCGCTATCCAGCCACAAGACACCACTGGGGGGCGGGGCAGGAGACAGGGCTGAGTGTCCCTGGCCCTTGAGGAGGTCCTGCCCCCGTGCCCATGACACCCTCCCCGACACCCTCACCCCGCTGCAGGCTCTGGGCACGTCGCAGGTGCAGCTGGTGGGCGGCCCTCGTGCTGTTGCCAATGCTCAGGCTCCCAGTAGCCACCACGTCAAAGCTGCAGAAGGGGTCGCCCTCACAGAAGGTGTCTGCCTGGTGCACCAGCTGGGCGCTGGGGGTGACCTCGTCAGGAAAGAGGGGCTGGTAGGAGGGGTCGTGCTTGGGCCCCAGGAGGAAGTTGTTGACCAAGACGCGGGAGTCGTAGGTGAACAGCGAAGACTCATTCCGCACAGCCCCTGGGGATGTGGCAGGGTGGGTCAGGGGCTGCCCTGCTGGCCTCTCTGGGCCGGTGTCCCTCAGCCCGTGCCCAGCGTGCCCCTGAGGCCACTCACAGTCAGCCCCAAACTGGAACAGCTGCCGGGCACTGGAGGTAGCTGGCAGGACACGCCCATTGCGCAGCATGAAGTCGTCACTGGGGATGCCGTTGAGCGTCCCAAGGAGGCCCCGGGTGTGGTTCCGGAACTTCTCGGGTAGCAGGATGGTCACGCTCAGAGACGGGCCCTGTGTGCTAACCTCCACGCCAGCCCCGGAGGACAACATGATGGACACATGGTCAGAGCCCACGGACAGGAACATGCCTGCATGGGGGGTGGGGGTCAGAGCCACCCACATGGGCGCCATCCCCAAGCCCAACCTCTATCTCTGGGCACACCTGTGGTGGGCCCCCCAGTAGGTGCCCTGCCCCTGTGGGAAACCCCACGCCAAGGCCACAAGTGGAGGGTCACCTGCCACCCCCTTAACTGCACTTGCTCAGGGCTCTCGAGGTAGCAGAGCTGTGGGAAGAGACGGACACTGGAGCTGGCCTCTGTTCCTCCTGAGGGGTGCCCTTAACCTCTCGGGGAGGGTGGTCAGGGGCCGTGGTTAGGAGCGTGCCCACTGTCTGGCCACGAGGGGCTTGCAGCCAGCGCCCGTGAATATGACTGGCATATCCACAGGGTAAAGTCGAGGCCAGTGCCCCACAGAACATAACAGCAGCCCCTAGGGCTACATGTCATCCGACCTGGAGCCATATTGGGGCATGGAATCATTGCCCACTGGCTGTGCCGGCCCGCCCAGGCCCCTGTGTGGTGGAGCGAGGGGTGGACCCCCACTCAGCATCTGAGCCTGGGTGGTCTTGGGCCAGGGCCGGGAGAGGTGGGAAGGCCCTGGGGCCAGTACCTCACCTTTGAGGTCCATCCAACTTTGCTCGTCAAAGCTGAGTACCCGTTGCTTCAGTAGCACCTGTGGCGTCTTGGCCTCGCCAGCCAGCCGGACCTCCACCACATCCGAGGAGGTGCCTTCCTGGACCGCTACTGCGGTCAGCTCTGTGCCGAGGGCCTGAGTGCCTGGGGGCAGACAGGTCATTGGGCTGGGCTCGACCTCCCACCTGGCTGCCCCAGCTCCCAGGGTGAGGGCTGAGCCCACGAAGAAGCCCCATGCAGAACCCCCAGCCAGCCTCACCATTGGGCATGGTCCGGGGCTGGCTCCTGCCCTGCACACTGAGCTGAGTCAGGCCTGCCTCCAATAGCACGTATTCGCCACGTCCGTTGAACGTGAAGTTGGTGCCATCGAAGGTGAGGAAGTGTGGGTCCCCGAAGGCGGAGGCTGGAGGAGGGGGGGGGGGTCAGGCCCGGCAGGCGGCGCCCTGTCCTGCCCCCAGGGGTCCCGGCCGGCACTCACCTAGGTACGGGGGCTGGTAGTTTTGGCAGCCGCTGGAGCGTCGCCGGTTCATGTAGCGGTGGCACTCGGGCGCCCAGAGGCAGCAATGGTAGAAACTGATGACGTCATAGATCCAGTGGGAGAGGCCGGGCACACGGGGCGGCACGAGGAATGGGGGCGCGCCCCAGTCATGCCCACGGTCCGGGGTGCTGCCGCCGGTGGAGTCCGCCGTCAGGAGCTGCGTGCCCTGTGCTGTGTAGCAGCACTGCTGGCCCGAGGCGTAGCTGGGGCTGGGGACACCGACAGGTCAGGGCGTACCCGCAGGGCCCCCCCTGCCCCCCCAGCGCCCCTGCCGGGTGCTCACCTGGCCTGCACCGAGCGCACGCAGTGCACGGCCCCCGGGTGGTAGGTGCACACGCTGCCCTGGTCAATGTCACAGCCATAGTCCGTCTGCAGAGTGGCAGGCATCACCTTGTCACCCTCGGCCTTGGGCCTGCCCCCCTTGGGCGGAGCCCCACCACCCACCACCGTCCTGGGGCTTCTCCATGGGAGGTCTGGGAGGCAGCAGAATTCAGGGGTCCACAAACCCGGCCCCAGACCTCCACCTCCCAGATCCTCAGAGCTGGGTCCTGGAATTGGCACCCAGAGACTGCGTGCCCCACAACCCCCAGGACCCCGACGTGGGTAGGGAGATAGGGTCTCACGAAAAAGCGTCCGGAATCAGCGCGGGCCTGGGCCAGCGTGCACGGGCAGTCGGGGAGCTCCCCCAGGAAGTCAGGCAGGTGGTCTTCCAGCTTCTCCCAAGCCAGGCACTGGGTACGAGCCCAGGCCACGGGGTCGGCCCGGAAGTCGTCACCCAGGTGCCAGGCCAGTGCGTGCTCATTGCTCCAGAGCGCCTGCACGTCCCTGTGGGGGACACGGCCCTGAGGGGGTGCTCTGCAACCACCCCCCACCGTGGGGCTCACCCTCACCCCCACCGGCCTGCCCGCTGCACCCTGTTGCCTGCGGGAGCCCTTACCTCTCCCCAGCCCGGTGAGTGCTGGCCAGGATACGCAGTGCCCCCACCTCCCAGCGCTGGTAGTTACTTGGCGCGGGTTGGGGAGTGAAGGTGTAAGTGCCTGAGTTGGAGATGTCTGTGGCCAGGCTGTACAGGTAAGACCACTTTGCCGTCCACTCCACTGAGTACGGCTTCCCTGAGGACAGAGAAGACTGTGGTCTGGGACCCAGGGGGAGGGGTCCCTCCCTCCGCACGCCCAGGGTCACTGCCCACACCAGGCCAGCCCTGGTGAGGGGGGCTCAGGGAATGCCCGGCGCCCCGCCTCCCTGCGCTGCCAGGCCAGCCCCCCTGTCTGCACACTCCCCTCCCTCACCCCTTCCTGATCTCCAATTCCCTTTATCTCGTCTCTGCCCGTCCAAGCCCCCAGGCCCTCGGAGGCGGCCCGCCTGCTCACCTGTTTCCTCATAGCCCCATAGCTCGATGGAGACGTGGCGCGTGGGCAGCGCCTCGGGGCGCCAGGTGACGGTGAGGTTCCCCCCGGTCCCCGCAGTCCCATAGTATTGCCAGTGGGTCTCGTTCACCAGCGAGCACTTCTCTGTCTGCGAGACCTTGCTGGGGTGCACTGGGCGGGGGAGGAGGCCAGTGAGGGCTGGGCCGAGGGGCGAAGGGCTAGGGGTCCCAAGGACCAAGCAGTGAGCAGAACAGGACACAAGTTGGAGACCCAGCCTGTGTTCTCGTGGGAAGCTGCGGCCCCTCCCTCTGGGCTGGGACGTGCGCCTGGATGCTGGTGGGGGTGGGTGAAGAAGTGATGCTAGGGGAATCCCCGTTCTGCGGGCGTAGCACCCATGGGCCGGGCGGGATGCCCAAGGACTGGTTGAGCCAGCGTGGCGGGTGTCATGTGGTGGGCAGGTCTCCTGCATAGATTAGTGCTGGGGAGAGGCCCTTGGGGGCCGGGGTGCAGGGGCGCTCACCAGCCAGCCAGATGCCTGAGCGATCAAAGGTGCGGCCATTGTCCAGCGAGAGTGTGAAGGGGATGAGGCCACTCTCGTAGAGCAGGGGTGACACGCAGTGCACTTGTCCACTGCTGTCCACGTGGCCACGTGTGTGCTCGCTCTCCTTAAACCTGTGGGCCAACGGCCAGGAAGTGGGCCAACGGCCAGGAAGTGGGCCAGGGCCAGGGAAGCCGCCAGCCCTTCGCCGGGGACCCATGGCCGCCCTGGGCAGGGTGCGAGGAGCAGTGCCCACCTGCAGACGATGCCATCAGCGGTGCTGGTACGCAGGCGCTGTACCACGAAGTCCTTGCCACCCATGATGGAGCCCGAGTAAGGCAGGATGTCCAGGCAGAAGTCCCGCATGTCCAAGCAGCAGGTGCCCAGGCCGGAGCAGGTTGGGTGGCAGGAGCAGGGCCCACTCTTGTCCCCACAGCGCTGGGCGCAGCTCTCCTTGGCCCCTGGGGGAGAGGACACAGAGCGCCATCCAGTTATCCCACACCCAACTCCACCAGGGAGAGGGGGTTCCCTGGGGACACAAGGGGTGATTCTCGGAACAAATTAGCCACCAAGTCCCCCAGTCCCAAGGGCAGGGATTCCCAGAGCACTGCATTTTTGTGAGCCCTAATGTGGTCTGAGGACCTCTCCGGCTTTCCTGGCCTGGGGTCTTGCAACATGGCCACCAACAGCCCTATTAGAGGTCCCCAGTGTGGGGGGTGCCAGGCAGAGCGTGCCACACCCTTCTCCTAATCCTTTCCGGAGAAGAAAGGGCATCCTACGTGACTCCCACCCTTCTAGGGGTCGTGGGTACGCCCTGCCCTTCTGCCTCAGGGGAGGAGAGCTTTTGTTTAGGAAGGTCAAAGACAAAGTCTAGGGTGGGGCGCGGCCCTTGGTCCTCCCCCAGTGCCCCTCAGGCTGCAGCCACTCCAGACCATTTTACCGCACTTCACCCTGTGGCCAGGGTTTGGCCTGTGAGAGTACCAATAAATATTTATTGACCCATTAAGGGATGGCTCAAGAAGGTGTGTGTGTGGGGAGGCTGAAGTTGCCAGTAAATGAGATAAGCAGGAAGGGATGGGGGGGCTCTCCAACACTCTGCCCTGCATTGGCCAGGGGTCAGGCCCTGGGGCTGTCCTGCCTCCCTGCTCTAGTCCCCAGCCCCAGTCTGGAGCCCCCCAGCCCCCGGTGTTTCTTGGTAATAATAGGGTGCCCTATCCAGCCCCCTGGTCCCCCCCAGCGTGTCTGGGTGGGCATAAGGGCACCCCAGTGCCCTGTCCGTACCCCAGCCCCCCGGTGCATCTGGCAGGGTGTTAGGCAGCACCCCAGTGCCCTGCCCCAGCCCCCCGGTGCATCCGGCTGGGTGTTAGGCAGCACCCCAGTGCCCTGCCCCAGCCCCCCGGTGCATCTGGCAGGGTGTTAGGCAGCACCCCAGTGCCCTGCCCCAGCCCCCCGGTGCATCTGGCAGGGTGTTAGGCAGCACCCCAGTGCCCTGTCCGTACCCCAGCCCCCCGGTGCATCTGGCAGGGTGTTAGGCAGCACCCCAGTGCCCTGTCCGTGCCCCAGCCCCCCGGTGCATCTGGCAGGGTGTTAGGCAGCACCCCAGTGCCCTGCCCCTGGCCACAGGCCCCAGCGTGTTTTGCGTGGAAGTTAGGCTGCCTCAGCCTTCCGTCCCCTCTGGCAGCCCACAGCCTCCCAGCATTTTCAGGGTGGGCATCAGGGCACCCCAGCTCCCCATCCCGGCTGGCAGCCCCTCCACCCAGTCCCAGACTTTTCTCCTGGCGTGACCCCAGACGAGGGACGGACTGGCAGAGGCTAGACCCACAGCAGATGTCGGAACGTTTGTCCCAGCCGGCTCTGCAGCGGATGGGCAGACCCAGAGGGCCCTGGCGCGCGGGCGAGGGTACCTGCGGCAGGCCGGGGGCCCGCGCCGGGGGCCGGGGCCAGGAGCAGCAGCAGGGCACAGGACACCACAGTCAGCTTCATGGCGCAGCCGGGTCTGCGAGTGGCGCGCGGCCGGGAGGGGGCAGCCCTTTAGGGCCACCGCCCCGGCCCCGCCTCCAGCCCCGGCCCGGCCCCGCCTACCTCAAAGTCCACAGGTGGTGGGCCAGGGTGGGTCGCGCGCCTGGTTAGCGCATTCCTGAGGACGGCCCGGCCCGGCGGGACCCCGGCGTGGGGGCGGAGCGATTGCAGGCGGACCCACGCTGAGTGGCCTGGGCCAGGCGGCGGTGTCAGGGCTCGGCGCTGGGCCTTGGGGAGCCGGGAGTCTCGGCCGGCAGGCCCCTTGCCCAGCTGTCTGTCCCTGACTTGGTGTAACCTCAGCCCTCCCGACGCGCCCGGCCGAGGTCTGGGCGAGGCACAGTGCCCGGTGGCTGCTGGGAGCGCTGCAGCCGGGCAGGGGTTGTGGGGGGAGGGCTCAGGCTTGGGGCTGACACTGGGGCCCCGCCACCTCCAGCTGCAGGCCCGGGTCCAGTCGAGGCTCCAAAAGGCAGGCGTTCAAGGGCACACGGCGCCACCGTGCAGGACCCCAGGTGGCTTGAGCCTTCGGCCTGACCAGCCCACTGTCCCCATCAGGGCCCCTCTTGGAGGTGGGTGTGCTGCCAGAAACCCCGAGGCACCCCTGAGAGCTAGTTGCTACAGAAAGGGGGGCAGGAAGCCTGCCAAGGTGTGGGGGTCGGGGCTGAGGCCCAGGCTAGCCCTGCTCCACCTCCCACCTGCCGCTCCTACAAGACAGCTGGGAGCAGGGGAGGCCCCCAGCCTCTCAGAGCCTGGGTGTGTCCATGGAGGGCCCTTCACTCCCCAACACCCCTCCGTAGGCCCCCAGCCTCTCAGAGCCTGGGTGTGTCCATGGAGGGCCCTTCACTCCCCAACACCCCTCCGTTGGCGCCCTGGTCCGGAGCCAGGAGCTGGCTGGCATCCTGGTCCGGGGCCACTCCAGGTCACAAGCCCCACATTAGAGCCAGGCGGATGACGGGAGCGCCCCCCGCAGGTCTGGCTGGTCGCGGGGCCAGGAAGGCGCTGGAGTCGGCTGCGGACGGCGAGGCGCACTGGTCATCACCGGCCTCCAGCCCCGCCCCTGCCACCGAGACTGACAGAGGGGCCCGCGGGCTGCCCCGCCTAAGAGGGCACCAGGCAGGAGGCAGGGGCTGCCCGAGGTGGGGGTAGGGAGGCGGAGGCGCCGGCGTGAGCTGCCCGTGGGCGGGAGGTGGCCGGGGACGCCCTAGACCTGTACCTCGTCAGCAGCCCGGCTTGCAGGGCTGGCTCGGGGCCCGGGTGCAGCGCTCCGCTCCGGCCCACCTAACAGGGCCCCAGGGTCGCGCTCTGCGCTGGGCGCCCAACTACGCCTGTGGGAATCCAGGTGGTGAGGGGTTGACCCTGCGCCGGGCCGCCAGCCTGACACCGCCCCCTGCGGGACTCTCCAGGCCCCGCGCCAGCCCGGCCCGCCTCAGCCCGGCCCGCCTGTGGTCTTCCCTGGCCCTGCGGGCGCCCTGCTGGCCTGGTGGTCCCCTGGATGCTTGGCCCAGAACCCTGCGGGTAGCCCCGCCCTGGCCACCACCCTGCAGGAGAGGAAACAGCCAAAGACCCCAGTTCCATCTTTATTAGAAAATAAACAAAAAAGGAGAGGGGAGGCCGCGCCCCGGGTGCGTGTACCAAAGGCCATGCGGCGTCTGGTGGGTTAGGGGGAGGGTTAGCCTAGAAAAGACGCCCGGGCCTGCGCCCGGCCCCGCCCTCAGATGTCCATGTCGTCCTCATCCTCGTCTGTCTCGCTCTCCAGCGAGGACTCCTGGCTCGAGGTCTCCAGCACCTCCAGGGCCGGCTGGCACAGGCTCTCCTTCCTCACGTTGGCGGCCGACTGCGCAGACAGGATGGCCGACTGCGGGGGAGCTCGGTCAGGCAGGGGGTGTGTAACGCGCACCCAGTATGCTGACGCCTCCGGGGGCCTAGTGACCTGCACCCCCTGTATCCTGACACCCCCAGGGCCCCTCTATCACCTCTCTGTATCCTGACTCCCCTCCTCAGGGCCCCTGTGCACCCTGCTCCCCCCCCACACCCCCTTCCTCCCCGCCCCCATCACCTTCAGCCTCTGCTTGGTTTCCTCCGAGATGCTGCCTTTGGGAACCAGCAGGGTCGGGGTGGGCGGTGTGACAGTGATTTCAGGAGGGGACTTGGTGGTGACTGCAGGGATGACCAGCTTTGGCATGGTGGGCAGCAGACGTGGCTTGGCCTTGCTGGGCTCGGCCTTGCCCGGGGGAAGCCCGGGTGGCTGGATGCCCCCACTGCTGGGGGCCTTGGAGCCAGAGGCTGTGGGTGAACCATAGGTGGAGCCTCATCACGGGATCGAGAGGCCAGGCCCCTCCCCTGCAGCTGGACCCCTGGCTGCCCAGCTGAGCCCCAGCCCCCCAGGCACAGCTGTGCATTCTGGGAGCTTGGGTCGGGAGCCCGGCCAGCACCCTGCTGCCCAGGAGGCACAGGCCCTCTCACTGGGGCACACGTGCTGGCGCAGCCCCGACCACCTCAGGGCTGGAGAGGCCGGGTAGCAGCCTGGGGGGCTGGGGGCCGGGGTCCCACTCCTGCAGATCCGGGGGGAGCCTGGAAGCTTGTCAGGGCCTGGGGGTGCAGGCTGCAGATGGGCCTGGCAGTTGCCAGTGGGGACCGCGCTAGGAATGATCTCAGCCTGGCCCGGTGCCACGTTACTGCCCGCCATGGCTTTAAAAGGAGTGGGCTTCACTTTGTACCTGGCTGGCGCCAGCCCTGCTGCCCCAATGGGCCGCAGAGTCCCAGGGGTCAGGCTGGCGGGTACGGGTTGGACCCGACACTTGGGCTGCGGTGGCAGCTCGGCTACCCAGAGGGACACTGGTCTGGGCCCGTCAGAGTCCCATTCCTCCTCCCAGGCCTGGCCCCGGGCCCCTGTGGCGTGCGGCCCTCCAACTGCGGCTAGGCAGCCTCGGCCTGGTGGGCCAGGGGCCTGGGCACCCCCACACCTCGCTCTGTCCAGCGGGCACACGAGACAGGACCTGCCTTCCTCTCCACCCCGTTTCACCACAGCCCCAAGCCCTTCAGCCAGCTGCCCCTCGGCCCGCCTGCCGGTCGCCCAGCCCTGCCCCCACCCAGGCCCTGCTACCCCGGCACCTCGTGTCCACTGCAGAGGCCCGCCGGGTGCCCCATGACCTCACAGCCACCCCAGCCCTTTCGCTGGGAAGCATCCCCGCACCTGTCGAGGGCCTCAGCGGATGCCTGGCGCTCCTGTCCCCTTACCTTGGCTGCAGGTGGGCTCAGTGCCTGTCAGGGGGGCAGCCTCCGCCGGCCAGCGGTTCAGCTCTGCTGGGGGTGCTGTGGGGGCCGGCTTCGCTGTCTGTGGGGGCCGGGGCTCCTGGAGGGTGAAGCTGGTGCCCTCTGCCGCTCCGGCCAGCTCTTCTCCCTCTGTGGGGACATGGGGACCAGCTCAGGGCCACATGCTCACCTGTCTGTGGTCACACAGGAATGGGGGGGCACAATGCTGGTGAGCCTGCCTGAAGGGTCCCCCACCTCCAGATGTGGGCCCTGGCCGGTCCTGGGAGAAACTGGCCGGAGGTGAGTGGGTGGCTGGATGCTCGGTGACAAGCAAGGCGGCCTGACTCATGGGCCCTTGTGACACACATCCCACAGGTGAGGGCTCCTGGGGGCCGGCAATCGCCTGCTTCCTGACCAAGCTTATGAAGAGGCAATCAGCACCTTGACCAAAAGCCAGACCGAGCAACCGAGACCCAAGCAGCCAGCCAGTGCAGCGGCAGTGCACCCCGGCCAGGCAACTGGCCCCGCGAGGCAGGGACGGGGACCAACCCCACTGGGCCCTGGCCACTCTCAGCCGCCTCCAGCCCAGGGGCTATGGGAGCACCTTGCCACCTGGCTCTCTGCCCCGACCGAGTGCGCAGCTGTGTGGCTTCCCCACTTTGTCCCGCTCTGCAGGACAAAGCCCGTCCAGCCCCAGAAAGCTGGGAGCACCCAGAGACACCCCCTGCCACTGCCCTCCCACCATCAGCTCCTGGGGCCCCACCCAGCCCGGAAGGGAGTGGGGGCCTGGGCAGAGAACCCCCACGTGCAGTGGGGCAGGGCCTGGCAGGGGCCATCTCAACAGGTTTGGGGGAAAGAAATATACGAGAATCAAGTCTCCCAGATAAAAAGTGTTCATGAGGACCCCACAGAGAAAAACGTGTGAAGGACAGCCTGGGGCCAGGCGAGCCTCCTGTGAGCCCGCCCCTGGCAGAGGCCCCCACACCCTACCGGCCCACAGCAGGGTGAGAAGATAGCGGTCCTGAGATTAGGTCCAGAAGCCATGGCGGAGCTCCCATGGGTCACTGGCCTGGGGAGCAGCTGTGAGCACCCCCAGGCGGTCTGCAAGGAGGCCCACCCAGGGACCTGAGGTCTTGAGCCAAGAGCCCATGAGTGAGCCTGGGGGCAAACTGTCCTCACGTGAGCCCACCTGACGGCCTCCCGTCAGGCATAGAACCTTCGCCAAAAGCAGTGCACAAACTGCCAACCAGACGGCTGGCGGTTCAAACCCATCAGCCACTCCTCAGAAGGAAGGTTGGGCAATCTACTTCTGTAGAGATACCGCCTTGGAAACCCAAGGAAGGGTCGCTATAAGTCGGAACCGACTCGATGGCAGTACATTTGGGTTTTGGGTTTTGGACCGATCCTGAGTTCCTGGCCCTCAGAAACTTAAGATGATGCTTCAAGGCGAGCGGACCCCGATAGCCTGCCTGCACACCTGCGTCCTCACGGCCGGCCTCCCAGTGCTGCCTGTGGCCAGGGCCCCCTTGGGGGCTTCGGTTGGCCACGTCGCCTTGGTTCTCTCTGTCACTGACTCATCTGGAAATCAGACAGCTCCCGCAGCCCGGGCAGGAGGACCCGGCTGGAGGGCCAAGCTCAAGGCCCTTGCCAGCTCTGACCCAGAGTCTCTGCACTGCAGGCCCAACGCAGACTGTGCGGGGGCCTCCCTGTCCTGTTCTGTCCTGAATCGGCAGAGGGCGCGAGGCGACGGAGGGGCTGCGGGGTCTCGGTGGGTGGCGTGACTCACCCCCACCCACTGGATGGTTACTGGGAGCGTGGGCTGCTCCCCGCCATCCTGTGCCACCACTCCCCACACCTGTGCCCATTCTAGACCCTTGGTGCTCCGTCCCCACGTCCACGTTTGACACACAACGTTGAGTCATGGTCAAGTGTCCTCAGCTGCTCTCTGCCCTGGACCCTGCAGAGCCAGGAGCCGACCAGAGGGGAAGTGACCGTGTCTCAGAGCTGAGTCGTGATGTCGTTTGACAGGGCTGGAGGTTCCCTAAACCTCCACAACCCTCCAAGGGAACTGGCGACAGCGTGAGATGGAGACCCGGGGCGGGACAAGACGGGGACCCCACCTCACCCTCCAGGCACTGACTCAGGTCCCAGCCAGTAAGGGGCTCTCAGGCTGGCCTTTGGTCAACAGGAAGTGACATAGCCAAGGCTACACAATTGTGGAGGCCAGGCCTTCTGTGACGATACGGCATGAGGACGAGGCCTCTGGCAGTGCACAGGGTGGAAGGGAGTGGAGGGCCTACACGGAGGGCCTGGGTGCCTGTCCAGCCCCGCTGGCCCCATGGTCGAGGTGACTCCCCTCTGATCACTCCTGGGTCCAGCAGCTGCTGAGACTAGCTGGTCTGGGACAGCAGAGATGGGGTGCCCAGCAAGGGGAACGTGACAGAGCAAAGGACACACCCACCTGCTCCCTTCAACACCCCCTGCAAGCCTCAGGCCAGCCGCCCCCAGACGTAGCTACCTCAGTTACCCACCTCAGGCCCCCAGCCCCCAAGATATAGTTGTCCCAACCCATCCCCACCCCCTGGCACATGGCTACCCCACTCTCTGCCGCCCACACCACGTGCCTGCCCTGACCCTCTTCCCCACCCCTACCCCCACAACATGGCTGCACTGCCCCACCCCTACCCCCTGCACGTGCTACCCTGACCTCTGCCCCCCACCCGTGGCTGCCCCACCCCCCCGCACGTGGCTATCCTGACCTCTGCCCCCCACCCGTGGCTGCCCCACCCCCCCACACGTGGCTATCCTGACCTCTGCCCCCCACCCGTGGCTGCCCCACCCCCCCGCACGTGGCTATCCTGACCTCTGCCCCCCACCCGTGGCTGCCCCACCCCCCCACACGTGGCTACCCTGACCTCTGCCCCCCACCTGGGGCTGCTCCCCCACCTCACCCCCCGTGAAGCTGTCCTGTTCCCGCAGGCTGCCACGGCCCTGGCTGTGGAAGGGGCGGGGCTGCCTGTAGATGGAGCCCCCTGAGATCACTAAGACCTATGCCCCGCCCCCATCCCCTCCTGCACACAGGCTCCCCGGGAACTGCTGGCTTGTGTCGCGGCCTGGTGGGACTTTCCTCCTGCCCGAGGTGTCCTCCGTGCGCTGTGAGGCGGGGCCAGCTGGCAGGGGGCTGGTGGGCCTAGCCCGCTCGGGCCCACCTGGCACGAGCATCCATGGCCAGCAGGCTGGAGGGGTGGGACTCACCGGGGCTCAAAGAGGTGGGGCCAGGGGTGGCCTCAGGCCTGTGCAGCCGGGGGGGCCCAGGGTCCTTAGCCGGGTCTGGAGTGGAGACGGAAGCACAGGGCAGGCAGCTGACGGCGGCCGTGGCAGTGGCTGGGGAGGGGCGGGGCTTGGCGTGGCTGTCGCTGGGCCGCTGGAGGGTGTCAGCCGCTGGGGTATCCGGGGTTGTGGGGGTCACCGCCGCAGGGAAAAAGTTCTCTCGGCTGTCCTTGGGGTGCTTTGGGGTGGTGGGAGTGTCCCCCGCGGCCTGTGAGGACAAAGGATTGGTGAGGAAGGCTTGGTGGGAGGCCTGGGCTCAGGAGGACCCCTGCCGAGCGGCTCCCAGTGCTGCCCCCAAGCCCGCCTGGGCCGGGACTGGCCGCAGGGCCACACAGTGTCCCCCAGAGCCCCAAAACCACAGCACTGCTGCAAGCCAGCCTGTGCCAGGACCGGCCGTGGTGCCACACAGTGTCCCTCAGAGCCCCTCGGTGCTGCAGCCCACAAGCCCACCTGGGCCCTGCCGATGCCAAGATGCATGTGGGGTAGGGTCATGACAGCATCTGGGGGCCCCAACGATGGCCTGAGAGCTGCTTCCTAAGGGTTAGTAGCACGGGTCCTGGGGGCACTCCAGCGCCACCACCCAGCCCGGGAAGGTGAGCCCCTGCAGCCTGGCTTCAGCCCCGCCGCCTGCCGCAGGCTGCCGTTCCCGGACTTTCCTGGTGCCCCCTATGGGGCTCCCCCTCACCTAAGTACACCCCCCCAGGATGGGTGTGACTACCAGCTCCCAGAGGGGAGAGCAGAAAAGGCAGTGCCCCCCCGGGCTTGGCACCCTAATTCGCCACCTGTCTGACGCCTTCTGGGGCCACTGCAGCTGCCCCCACCCCTGGTAGCCCTGTCCCTCTGACACCCGCTGGTCTGGGACAGCTGCACAGTGTTGGTGCCCCGGGGCAGCCTCCTGTACCCGCAGCCAGGTGGACCTGCGAGTCAGGGGTGGGGGGGTGGGGCTGTGCCCTGCCTCACTCAGGACAGGCCTCCCATTACCACCAACCGCCATGGTGACAGGGCACGCCACCAGCAGGGTGAGTGGGCTGTAGGCCAGAGGCAGGGGCACGGTGCTCAGTGGGGTTGAGACGGCTGTCTCCGTTCCCCAACCCTGCCCCCTCCAGGAAGAGGCCTGCCCTGGTGAGGCCGAGGGGTGTGGGGCTATGAGGCCTCAGATGCAACCAGAGGGCCTGGGGCAGGCATGTGGGGCCTTGTCCCCCTGCACCTGTTCCCTGGTGAGCCACACTCGGCCCACCCTCACCCAGTCAGCTCCAACCCTTCTTCCTCTACCTCCCGCCCTTCCAGGTGAGATTACCTGGATAGACACCACCCTCCCCGAGGAGCAAGGAGACCCCTTGGGCACACACCTGGCAGGTCAAGGCAGCAGGCCTGGGACCCCAACCCTAACTCACTGTGTTGGGGGCTTGAGTGTGGGCTGCAGCCCCAGGGGGTGGTGTGGGGCGGGCTTACTTGTCTCTGGGCAGCGGCCCCCAGGTGGAACTGACAAAACTTCACGGCCTGCTCCAACGCTGCCTCCTCGTCCACCTGTAGGAGCACCTACATCAGAGGCTGGGCCACACAGGCCACCCCACACCTGCACTGGTCTCGGGCCAGCCACCTGGCGCCCCTCAGCCTGCCCAGGAAAAGGAGAGGGCTGGCCAAGGTTCCCCAGCACCAGGCTGGTGCCGGCTGCCCTCAGGCCATCCCTCTGACCACTGCTTTGTCATCGGCCTCCTCCAGGGCTGAGGGTCCGGGGTCCCACACAGGCCTCCAGAGTGCGGACAAGGCCCAGGCACAGGGTATCATGAGGATGCCCTGAACGGGGCCAGCCGGGCCCAGGGTGGTAAGACCCGGGCAGGGTGGTCAGGGGCTGTGTCTGGGAGAGGTGAGGGGCACTGGACAGGGCAGCCGGGTGGAAAAGGCCCGCTCACACCAGCGAGAAAAGCAGGCCTCTGTCAGAGGGTCCCATGGAAGGTAACAGAACGGCCTCTTCAGAATGTCTGCAGACGCCCAACCATTCAAGTTCTGGGGTGCTGCCCATGAGAAGAGCCTCAAAACCAGACAAATGCCTGTGCCTGACATGTGTAACAACTAAAGCTTTACAAAGAGAGGCAAAACAAGGACACAAGAGTGTCCAGTCACATCCACTGGGGGCCAAGGTCACACAGCAGTGACAGCCACAGCTGGGGCCCAGGAGGCAGCAGGCGACTGTCACGGGAGGGACACCTGGGCGGGGCACTCACACTCACACACATGGTATACACACAGAAAGACAGTCACACTCACATAGAAAGATGCACACAGGGAGACCAAACACACTCCCATGGGAAGGCACACACGCCCACGGACACACTCATATACACACACACACACACTCTCAGTCTCAGCTTCGTGGTGCACCACTCAGCCAGCTGGCACGGCCCATGGACGCGGCACCAGGAAGGGGCCGCCCACCAGGAGCGCCCAGGGGCTCTGCCCCGGCAGTGGACCGGGAGTCCCGGCCGTGCTGCGGGGCTCACCGTTGAGTCCCAGGTGCTCCCGCATCTTTGAAAGCAGCCGATGTAGCTGCTGTGAGCCACTGCCCGCACCCGACTCCCAGTGGCCCTGTCGTGAGCTGCTGTCCGCGCCCGACCCTGGCAGTCCTGTTACAACTGGTAGCGTCTGCACGGGCTGATTTTCAAAAGTAGGTTCCCAGGCCCTCCCTCCTCATCTGCAGGCCCCTCTGAACTGTGTCTAGCTGCACCCACATCTCCACTGACGCGGTGCTGGCCGTGTATGAGGTGCACTGGCCGGGGCCGGGCCAGAGATTGACTGGGCGTGGCTTCTCTAGCACAGTCTTTGCAACTCCCACGGCTTTACTGGGTGGGACCATGCAAATGAGCTGTGTAGAACTCTGATGTTGGGATGGTTAGTTCCGTCACTCTGCCAGGCTTACAATGAGCCCTCCTAGAGGCACAGGGGGCTCTCACTGCCAGCAAGAGAGAAGAGCTGGAGGCGAGGTGCAGTGCATCCTTGGGCGCGAGATCCCTGCACTAGACACCTCCCTGGCTGAGATGCCAAGGTGAGACAACCCAGCTGAGAAACCAAGGGACTTGCTGGCCCACAGACCAAGAAACGATGGTGGAGTGGGGTGGACGTCGGTGCCCCTATCAGCAGAGCTAAAGGAGCTTTGTAACACTTGCCTGAGCAGGGCAGAGGCCAGGCCGAGAGGCCAAAGGCTAGAAGGTGTGTCTGAGGGGACAGCAGAGGGGAGACTGTCCTCATTGAAGAACTGTGTCCTGAGCGCGTTCCCGAACCTGAATTGTAGCCTGTCACTTCCCTAATAAACCCCGTCATTGTGAGGACTGTCTGTGAGTTCTGTGTGGCCATTGCAATGAATTACGGAACCCAGCAGAGAGGCAGTGAGTGCTGTAGGAGGGGATGGCTGGGGGCCGAGTTGGTGAAAGGCTGGAGGGTGGTGGTGTCTGGCTTCGTAGGAATCAGCCCTGGGCTGCTGACGGTGATTCTGTCACCCCGCCGTGAGGTTGGAGGAGGTCAGAGGATGCCACCTTCATGTCCTTTCTGCACCAGGAACAGAACCTGGGTCTCGTGCATGGGAGGTGACAGTCCTACTGCTGAAATGCGGTGGTCCATAAAGGCTGCATATGGACATTTTAAAGCTTACTGTTGCCGACTCTACCAGTATCACACGCCATCCATCAAAACCACAAAAGCATGAATGAGAGAAGATCAACTGGACACCAGGGACCTCCTGAGAATTAAATATGTACGTGGATCCAAAGACTACAGAGTCAAAAGAGAACCTACAGACTGGGAAGGAATCTCTGGCCATGACGTACCTGATAAGGGTTGGATCTCTGTAATATACAGAAAAAAGCCAGTGACCAGTACAGTAACACTAAGGAAAAGTAAGACACAGAGGCACATGAGAGGTACAGACAACAAAGGGAAACCACACACAATCCTGCGTGATCAGTAACAACACACAGCTGTTGACAGGCGGCTACACAGGTAGACAGGCTGATGATCAGGAATGTCTGGGCAAACGGGAATATAACTGTGACCATATATAAGAGGGACCGGGTCTCCGGGAGCAAGGTAAGCACGGGCGGGCTGGTGCTTACTCACTGATCTGCACTGAACACTTTCCCTTGTTACCCTCCCGAGAGGGACCGGGTCTCTGGGAGCAAGGTAAGCACG